GCACCATCTGCACCATGGGGTGCTGCGTCCTCGGTTTAACCAGCAAAGAGAGAGAGAGAGAGAGAGAGAGAGTCTACTACTACTACTACTACTACTACTACTACGACTACTACTACTACTACTAGTAGTACTACTATACTACTACTACTGCTACCACTGCTATAGGAATCACATCCAGGATACGGGATGAGGCAGGAAAGCCGACAGCGGAGTATCATCGTCCACGATTTCTATGGTGCTGTTGCACAGGTTCTCCAAAATCTGCTTCCTGCAGCATGGAAATTATGTCATGCCAGCGAGAAAAGCACAGACTGTTATGCGATTACCCATACACAAGCTGTCCTCTTCCGAGTTACAGCATCAGCAACAGTCTCGGGGGCCATATGGGCCGCTGGCACATTCGCCGGCTGGGACCGGCCATCTGCAGCATTCGACATAGCTTCTGCTGTGTTTTCCTTCGCCGGTCCCTTGGCAAAAAAGAGCAATTCTTCTTGACACTGCACTTCTTCATCGTCTGCAGCATCCATTTCTCCTGAGGTCGTGCTGGGCGTCTCAACCAGCTGCAGAAGCTTCACGAGCCTTGGATCCAGAGTGGTCCTCTCCACCCATGCGTCCGGATCCAAACCGCGGCGCTTGGATTCACTTCGGAGCTGTCGCTTGGTTTTTTTCAAGGAGCCGAGGAGGTGTCGCAAGTCCAGCGCGACCACTTCTGGAACCGGCACGGGACTCTTATCCTGACCAAGGATCTTCATGAGTTCCCAAAGGCTGTCGGTGGCCAATGCAGCTTTGGGGTGCAATGTAACCAAGGGCTCCAAAATCCAATTGCACTCCACCAAGTAGTCTTTCGAAACAGCTTTGCCACAGCACCTCGCGAAGACTTCTGCGATCTTACCAGATCGCAAGTCCAGCTCGACAGTGTACGGCATGCTGACATTCCGCCGCACTGCCTCCAACACCTCTTGAGACAGCGACTGCTCTTTCGGCCGCACCATGGTCGCAGACTTTCTT